TGCTTCTAGTTAAAAAAATTAGGTTTTAAACTCAATGGTTGGAGATGATCTTAGCCTGTAGAATCTTTCAAAGTTGGGATATTTTTAATGTACATATACAATATTCAAACATTATTCAAGATTTCTTTAATTGAAAAAGTCTTTATCCTAGAGCTCCAATGGAAGTCCCCATTTAGGAACTCCCACCACTACTTTTGAGTACTCATTTAAGGACTTAAAGGGAATCTTTGTGTCTCTAAAATAATATTGCCTCTAATGGTAGAGTTTTTATAATAGAATCCCTAAATTTGAAGTTTTTATGATTTTATGTGATAATTTGATTAGATGCAAATTTTTTGTTTATGTTAACATTTTTATTAATTAAAAGCATTAAAAACATTAAAATCTTCAATCAAGATTGTGGGTTTTGTTTTCCACTCAAGGTGTACATTTTTTTTGTTTATGCTAACTTTTTTTAAAGCATTAAAAGCTTCAATCAAGATTGTGGGTCTCATTTTCCACTCAAGGTTGTATCTATATAGTCCCTATATGTGAGGACATACACTGTGAATCCGGTGAGTCCTTGTACTTTAGGGACTCACTTTCTAATCCATTAGAGATACATTTTGTCCATATATTTATTTTATACTTATTTTATACAATGGTTGTCTTTATTTAGAGATTCCACTGTAAGTGCTCTTACTACATGTGTGGGGAAAGGAACTATATATACCACGTGAAATTGGTGGAAGAAGTTATGAAGTAAACAATTTTTCTGATAGTGATATGTACAACCTAACTCACATGTCCCCTTCTCTAGAAATTAAGAGGTGTTCCGGATCCTTGCCGGATCCTTTTCTTAGGGATCCTAGGGATCCCATGATCTCACATGTTCATCGTACATCGTGCGATCAGAAATAGTTTTAAAATTGAAAATTGAAAATTAAATATGAATAATATGTAATAAAAACTGATTGCACGATGTATGATAAACGAGTAAAATCACAGGATCCCTAGGAAAATGATCCTCTTTTTCCGTCCGTTCTCCAGAAATTATTAGGTGGTCCTTTCTCCAGAAATTATTAGGTGGTATCGTAGGAATCCGGATCCTCTTTGTGAGGATCTCAAGGATCCGTGAATTATATCTGTTCATCGTATATCGTGTGGTCAAAAATCATTTTAAATATTTTTATTTAAAATTAAATAGAAACAGTACCTAACAAAAATTGACCGCACGATGTACGATGAACGGACATGATTTACGGATTCCCAAAATCCTTGCCAAAATGATCCGAAGAATATCCTGTTGGGTACCGTAGCACCAACTTGCAGTGTTTATGTGACAACGTGGTGCTAATGTGGTGCTAAAGTGCTAATGTGGAAATTTCCAAAATGTCTACAAATGTCTTGAGTGATAATGTGTTGCAATTGTGGTGCTAAAGTGCGATATTGAGTGGTGGTACTGATCCACCAGAAATTTGACACATGTACAATTAAAACAAATCGGCTTCTGCCATTAAAGCCCAATTACATACCAAAGACAGTGTAAAATTTTTCTGTCAATGGTCAAGACTGAAGAGGCATGACGATCGCTAAGTCCTCCATTCTTTATATCTGCAATTTGTGTCATCAATATATAATTTTAACAATGAAAACCATTGCGACAAACATGGCCACCGCCACAATCGATTTCAATTTTGTGAGCACCCCTTGAAGATGGGAGAAATCTAAACATAGCTAGCTAATTGAAGATGGTGGCGGAGGGAGTTTCTAGACGTATTGGACATATTTATAATTGAAATCATTATTAGGAATAGAAATCTTGATGGACGGCTTTATTTTGATACTGAAGATTTTCCAGTGCATCTTTTTTTTTTTTTTTTTTGAACCAAGGATACAATACCAAGGCACAGAGGCCAACCAAGAACAAAGAAAGCCGCAAAGGCTAACGCAACAAAGGAACTAATGACAGAGCAAAGGCCCGGGATTACAATAGACGCTGCCACAGCTAGCGAACACATCATCCCCAAAAAACAAGAGTCGAAGCTAGCTAATCGGAGGGCAAGGCAAACCATCCTTATTTAAAATTCTAACAAGAGAAGATGGGGGCCTGTAAGCCCAAACAGAGTTGCACATCTCCGGAGTGAAGTTCTTCGCAATGAAGTTCGCAGCACAGTTTGCTGATCTTGGAATCCAAGACTAGGAGCAAGCTTGGAAAGCCTTCCCAACCAACCAAATACGATCTCGTATTGGGAAGAGTTCCCAAGTGCAACTCGAAGAACAATCTTGCAAACACGAAGTAACCAGTTTTGAATCTCATTCAATCACCACCTAGGGGAAATTCAGACCTTTCGCTAGAAGACACCCCTCCAAAATTGCCAAGGACTCCACCATTGAAGCAGAAGAGGCCAGGACCTCCATCCTTCTGACCTCCAAACACCTACGACTCGAGTCACGGATCACCAAGCCAACCCATGCCGAAAAAGCACCATGCCTCCGACTTACATCCACATTTAAGCATCATAACCAGACATATAAGTTTACGTTATAAGATCTAAGGAACCACAAAGTTTACAACTTTGATTTTGTTCTCCAAGTTTACTCAGCAAACCCTAGCTATAGGATGATCGCCATGGCAGAACATTACCATATTTTTGTAGCACCAGACGGGTCCCTTCATCACTCTTTCATGCCAGTGCTTGGCTGTGATGGAGACACAACGAAGGAGATAGAGAACAACTGGTCCTGCCCAAGGCCTTCTTTGATATTTCGGAGGCCTTGTGTGAAATTCATAAAAGGGGCCCTTCTTATAAGACATCTTAAAAAAAATAAAAAATTGAACAACGTATTGATGTTAAAAAGCAATATCGAAATAAACTTTAAAACTAACTAACCATATGTTTCTAAATATTATTAAATGTAAGGAAAGCTACAAAATAACCATAGTACTAATAACTAACAATAAGTTCCATCTAAGGAAACCAAATAAACAAAACTTAAAAAAGTAAAGATGGCTCTTCGTGCATTCTTTGCTGCAAAATCATCAATTAAACCTTTATAATCAATATTGTCTAAAAAATCACTTTCAATCGATATCAAAGCTAGTCCATTTAACCTTTCCTGCAACATGGTTGACTGCAAGTATGATTTTAATAACTTTAACTTTGAGAAACTCCTTTCTGCAGATGCAACGGTAATAGGTATAGTTAACAAAATTCTGTATGCAATGCTTGCAGTCGGGAAACAACGCATGCTCTTCAAGTAGTTCAATATGTCAATGGATGTCTTTATTTCTTTTGGCTAACACTCTCGTAAAAGCTTCAACTCTACTAATAATGCTTCCCCATCAACATCGAAGAGCTCATATTTCTTAAGAAAGTTTTGAAGCCAATCATAACAATCTTTCAATTTGTCATTGTCTATCGAATTCAGTCGTTCTGAAGTGAACAAAAACCCAAATATATCATCATACGCTTGATATTCTTCAAACCTTCTCTTCAATGAACCAATAGATTGATCTATTATATACAAGAAGTAATGAACCCTAAAAGATTCCTCCGCTGATTGTTCAGTTGGTTGGGACCTTCATTCTCATCAAAATGTCTTTTTCTACGAACTTTATGCTTTTCTGGAAACACGGGATCAATTTCCATTTCAATAGCAAGTTTTTTGGCATTAATCATAGCCTTCACAAACCCAGTTTCTCCATACTTTTCAAAATAAGCAATCAATCCTTGTACTTGTTCTATAGCAACATCAATAAGCATGTCTTTATATTGCAAATCTTTGCTAACCTCATTAACAGCAGCCAATATTTCATACCAAATAGTCATGCCCAATAAAAACTCAAAATTCCCAATGTCGTATGTTGCCAAAGATTTAGCTGCACTTCTTGTTACTAAGTCATTGTCACTTTCTGCTAATTGAAGTAAAGCTTTTTTTATTTGTAGAGGTTGGAATTGAATTTTTTTAACACTCACAACACGGCTTTCCCATCGTGTGGCCGACAATGATTTGAGAGTCAGTCCTTTTATATTTTCTTTCAAAGTCAGCCATCGTTTTGTAGAATTTGCGATCAAGTTGTAAATATGTTGTACTGTTCCAAAGAAGTCTTTCGCTTTGCCACAAGAGTTTGCCATATCAAAAAGCGTTAAGTTAAGACCATGGCAACCACATGGAGTGTACATTGCCATAGGATTTATATCCAAAAGCCTCTTTTGTACACCTTGGTGTCTCCCTTTCATATTTGATCCATTATCATAACCTTGCCCTCTTACATCATCAATATCAAGATCAAGAACTTTTAATGCATTTTGCAACTTTTCAAACAATCCTTCTTCTGATGTGTTATTCACAATTAGATATTGCAAAAAATATTCTTCTACTTTTACTGGAGTACTGTTCATATCCACACATCTTATGATCAAGGTCATCTATTCTTGGTGGCTAAAACCATGAGTACAATCAAGTATCACGGTAAAATATTTAGCTTCTTTGACTTTTTGAATGATTACATCTTTGATTTCACAAGATATCAACAATATCAACTCATTCTGGATGGTATGACTAAGATAATGATAACGAATCTCATTATTTTGGAAGCGTTGAAGATGATTCTTTATCAATGGATCAGACTCAACCATCATTTGAACTAGACCCATAAAATTTCCATTACTTTCTTCATAAAGCGTATCGTTATTTCCACGAAAAGCCAATGTTTGTTTAGCTAAATATTTCACAATGGAAATCAACCTTCGTAATAACTCCCTCCAATGCTTTTTTTTTCTTGATCTGGTCTTGCACAACTTTGTCAATTGTTTTGTTTTTCTACAATCTAAGACGCAAATCAATCCAAGTGGTCATGTTCGAGATGTGATCAAAACTATTTTCATGCTCTTTAACCCTCACATTGAGATGTGTCCAATCTTTGTAGCCCTTATTTGCTAATTGACCTTTGAGAGGCCCTTTCTTGAACAATTTACAACAAACGCAGAACACTTTATCAACATCCTTTGAATAGACTAGCCAATCTCTCTCATGTTTCTCTCCATTAGATAAGTATCGAGTGTAAAAGGCTGCATTAAAACGCCTATTAAACTGATCTTAGGACCTTTCTCAATTGATAGATCTCTTGCAGGACCTTTTTCTGCCAACAAATCAATCCATTTAGGATCAAGACTATCCCAAATTTGAGGATCATAAATGTTTGAGGGAATGGACTCACTCAGTTGATCAGTGACAATAGGAGCATCCTCATGATTATCATTCTCATCAAGGTCATTATTAATTTCATCATTGCCCAAATCATCAACTAATTTCTCATTGTCATCCTGTTGTTCCGTAATTAAATCATCCACTAAACTTTGTGGTTCTTTTTCTTTTAGAAAGAACCTATCAATAGCTCCTTTTTGAGAGTGAATCAATTGTTCAACTTTTCTTTTTCTTTGACGCTTTAAGTAGCCAGATGGATATTTTCTAGTAGGTGCCATCCTTTATATCTCAAACAAGATCACAATAAAATTATAGTAAGTATGAACAATGAAACCTGATAGTCCATAATACGTGTGCGTCTAGCAATTTTTTGTGACTGCTCTTCTCTTGATTTTGTCCTGAAAAGTACAAAAGAAAAAAAAATCATTATAGATGAGAAATACCCAAATCTTCAAATTTCGAGTCAATATTCCTAAATTAGTAAATATCTTATTTTGATCGAAGTTTACATCACTTTGATCAGTTGAATTGTCATCATGATTTGGAAGTTTCTCTTTAATTTCATAAATTTATAAATTAGGGTTTAATAATTTGTGGGAAATATACGAAGAGAGAAGGGAATTACACTGGGAGTCTAGGACACTCACATTGGCACACGTTCTGGTGCTCTGCGCTAAATTGTTTGCCTCGGTAGTGACGTTAGTCTGGTGTGAAAAGAAGAAAAATGGAACGCAGCGATGGGATTTTGGCGTGAGAGAAGTAGTCTATCTTTGAATTGTTTGCCTCGGTGAATGGGTTTTCCACTTTAATTGATTAATTTGCCCCTTGTTAATTATTATTTTATATATTTTCGTACAGGTTGTAGGTAGTACTACCAGTAGTTTGATGGCTTTTAGCCTTTTAGGTAGTAGCCTGACTATGATGGCTTTTAGGTGGTAGTCTGATGGTTTTTTGCCCATCAGATTTTTATATGTATTTATTTGATTTGATTAGTATTTCTATATAACATTATTATATATATATATATTAATATTATATTCAATAAAAAATATTTTTCGGGGCCCCCAAAATTATGGGGCCCTATGCCATGGAACCGGTCACACTCCCCCAACGCCGGCTCTAATTGCAGCATATGACATACTATATTATATATATATATATATATATATATATATATATAATATTGGTGTTGCATTGTGCAGCATGTGTGTACGAAAATGATGATACCAAAAGTTTGGATTTAATTCAACCTTGTATCTTTTGGTTGAACTACAACATTTGGTCATACAATTTCTTTCTAGTTATTTCTAAGGGAATACAATTCGGTTTTGCTAATCGAATATTCCATACTTTGTTGTATCCTGGAAGTGACTTGCCAAGAGCCCGATGGTAGGACAAGATGCGTTTTATGCTTACTGTTCTAAATGTCATATATTTGTTGGACCCGAAATTGGAGCTTATTTGTGAACCAAGTGACAAAGACTCGGACAATATAGTTGCCGATTGAAAGAAGCGTGAAGAAGATGAATTGGTATGTCGAGGACACATCTTGGGCACATTATATGATTGCTTATATGACCTGTATGCACACATTCAATCTCCAAAGGAAATTTGGGAAGCACTTGAACACAAGTATACAACGAAAAAAAGAGGTACCAATAAATTTTGAATGTTCAAATATTATGAATTCACTATGTTTGATAACAAACCCATCCTAAACCAAGTTCATGAATTATTGGTCTTGGTCTCAAAACTTCGTGAACTTAAAATAGTTATTCCGGATCCTATGATAGTTGGGGCTATTATGGCAAAATTACCCCAAACATGGAATAACTATAGAAAGAAACTTCTACACATGGTGGAAGATATTGGTTTGGAGAATTTGAAAAAGGGTATTCAAATTAAAAAGGAAACTCGAAATCGTGATAAGAATTTTACAAATCAAGATTTCTCTAAAGTTCACATTGTCGAAGGACACAAATATAAAAAGAACTTCAAACTCAAAATTGACAAAGGGAAGTTTAAGAAGACTAATTCCAACAACAATCAAAAGAATGTAAATGGTGTCTATTACCATTGTGGAAAGAAAGGCCATTACATTCATGATTGTAGACACAAAAAAGCAAGTGAGGAATATGCCAATAAGACCAATAGTGCAAATATGGTGGAAAACTCTGGAATTGATAACATTGTTGCAATGGTATCAATGATGCATATTTGTATGATTACCGAATTGAATTTGGCAACGGCAATAAAATCCTCTGATTGGTGGCTCGACTCAGGGCTACTATACATGTGTGCAATGACAAGGCACAATTCAAGACATATGAAGCATTAATGAACAATCAAGAAGTTTTAATGGGGAATCATAATTCCGCCAAAGTTCTAGTAAGAAATTGACATTGCTTAATGTACTGCATGTTCCAAAAATTAGAAAGAATATTGTGTCTGCAAATTTATTATGTAAGAACGGTATAAAGACTGTTCTAGAGTTCGACAAGTTAATAATGTCGAAAAATGAGGTGTTTGTTGGGAATGGGTATTCTTGTGATGGGATGTTCAAACTAAGTATTAATAATAAAGTGAATTCTTCTGCTTATATTGTTGAATCTTCCTCTCATTTATGGCATTTACGTTTAGCATATATAAATTTTAGATATTTAAAATACATGCGCACACTTGGTTTAATTGCTTGCAATGATGATTATAATGATAAATGTGAAACATGTATTCGAGCGAAAATGACTAAGAAACCTTTTTCCAACAACCGAAAGAAATACAAATTTATTAGACTTAATACATTCTGACATATGTGAATTTAATGATATTTTAACAAGAGCAGGAAAAAGATATTTTATCACATTTATAGATGATTGTTCTAAGTTTACTTATGTTTATTTATTGTCTAATAAAGATGAAGCTTTTGAGTGTTTTAAGCGCCATAAGGCTGAAGTTGAAAACCAAAAGGGAAGGAAAATTAAATGCCTTCGTAGTGATAGAAGTGATGAATATTTTTCACATGAATTTGATATTTTTTGTGAAGAGCATGGTGTTGTACATCAAACAACTGCACCCTATACACCACAACAAAATGGTTTGGCAGAAGAAAAAAAAAATAGGATACTCATTGAAATGATTAATTCTATGATGATTAATGCTAATACTCCAAAATAATTATGGGGTGAAGCATTGATTACTGCATGCCATATACACAATAGAATTATATCTATGAAGACACATGTGTCACCATATGAAATTTGGAAAGGAAGAAAACCAAATTTGTCATATTTGAGAGTATGGGGTTGTGTAGCTTTTTATAAGGCACTCGATCCTAAGAGATCCAAGTTGGGTCCAAGAGAAATTAAAAGCATATTTGTAGGATATGCAAAAAATTCAAAGGCATATAGGTTGCTTAATTTAGACTCAAACACAATAGTTGAGTCTAAAGATGTCGAATTTATAGAAAATAAATTCTATAACGACTACTCAGTGTCTGGAAAAGAGAATGATCAAACACCTTTCTCTAATCCGTCTACTAGTCATTCTCAAGGTGAGAAAAGAAAATAGTCTGAAACTGTTAATGAATGAAGGAAGAGCCAAATGGTAAGAAACGAAAAGACTCTAGGCTCTGATTTTATTTCATCTCAATCTATTGTATTTTTAGTCGAAGGAAATAGAACAAGGGTTCTTAAGAAAATACCCATATTGTTGAATGTTGAGGATGATCCTAAAAGTCTAAGCGAAGCATTGACTTCAAGAGATGCAACCTTTTGGAAAGAGGCTATAGATGATGAATTTGAATCATTAATATCTAATCAGACATGGGTTTTAGTAGACTTGCCCCAAGGATCAAAAGCAATAGGTTGTAAATGGATATTTAGAAGAAAATACAATACAGACGGGTCTATTCAGATATTTCAAGCCAAGCTGGTTGCCAAAGGTTTTAAGAAGAAAAAAGGAATAGACTATTTCGATACATATACACCAGTAGCTAGGCTTACATCAATTAGAATATTGTTTGCATTGGCATCTTTATATAATTTTCATGTGCATCAAATGGATGTGAAAACGATTTTTTTAAATGGTGATTTAGATGAAGAAGTCTATATGGAACAACCAGAAGGGTTTGTTCTCCCTGGGAATGAAAAGAAAGTTTGTAAATTAGTCAAGTCATTATATGGATTGAAGCAAGCACCAAAACAATGGCATGAAAAGTTTGATATTGTCATTTTATCATATGGATTTAGACATAATAATGCTGATAAATGCACATACTCTAAATTCACAAATGATTATGGTGTTGTTATATGTTTATATATCAACGACTTGCTAATTTTTGGTACAAACATGAAAGGTGTATCTGAAACTAAAGAGTATCTAAATTCAAAATTCAAAATGAAGGACTTGAATGAAGTGGATACTATCTTGGGAATTAAAGTAAAGAAGCATAGTGGGGGTTACGCTTTGTGTCAGTCACATTATATAGAAAAATTGCTTCTTAAGTTTTAGCATCTACAAATAAAAGAAGCAAATACCCCTTATGTCCCTAGGGAATCTTTGCTTAATAATTCTGGTAGGTCCGTTGCACAGCTTGAGTATGCTAGTGTAATTGGAAGTTTAATGTATGCCATGCATTGTACCAGGCCAGATATTGCATTTGCAGTAAGCAAACTTTCTAGATACACTAATCATCCAGGTACTGCTCATTGGAAAGCAATAAATAGAATTTTTGGTTATCTTAAAAGAACTATTAACTTGAGTTTAACTTACTCTGAATTTTCAATAGTACTTAAAGGATATTCATATGCAAGTTGGATAACAAGTGCTAATGATAATAAAATCACTCGATTTCTTTGAGTATTGCAGAAGTTATGATTTTTCCAGTTTTTCCATGGATCAGTCACCTTTCAGGCTATTTTCCGGCCATAACCAGTAACCATTAGGCTTTCAAATGGGTATAATCTTATTCTAAACTTTCCTATCTTCATTTTGATATATTATGGGTTGAATTTTGTTAAGAAACGATTGAGTTATGAAGGTTTGAAAATTGCTCAAACTTCCGGCCAAGAACTCCGGGACACTTAACGGAGTTTTTAACGGAATGACCAAAAAAATGGATGGTGGACAATCTCAATGACCATTTCTATTGATTTTCAATCTCAAGGACCAACTCCGCCTGTGTAAGTTTATCTTACATTACCGGTCCCAAGCCCGGATAAAGGAGGAAGGGGGAGGGCGTCAGGTAGTCGACAGCCGGCACTCCATGGTTACGTCGAAT